TTTTCGTTACGAAAAACCTTGGCGTTGGAAGTGAAAACCATAACGGCATGCTTCAGGAGTGGCTTCAAGTACTTAACACTTAATCCCATCATTTGCATGCGTTTTTTATTTTCAATGGTAAGTTTTTCAGTTTTTAGCACTGAAAACAACGGTGTTATTTCACTGACAAAATGTTGAGCATCTTCAAATTTTCCAGTGCGTACTTACCAATGCGCGTCAGTGGAAAGCTATACCATAACATCAAATAAAAGACGAGCATTGCGGTGAGTTGCTCCTAAATCGTTACGTTTACTTTAATGATTTCCACCCTGACGAACGTCAATGACGGATGAGTTTATGTAGAGGGCAGCACAAATATGCACGTGCAGTTTAAGATGGCAGCACTACCTCTAAGTCACATGTCCGAAGCGATAGAAGGTGATCGTTTCGATCCGCGGAATCAATAGCCGATTAAGTGTAGCAGTCTGTTGAACATCACGTGGTCTTGTCACCTGATCGGCGGCCAAAACTTGATGCTGGTGATCGGCTTGCCCCACATCTGGTGATAGAATGGGTCCTGGATTCATCGGGGTCAGTCCCGCGTCAGATCTCACATTACCACCCTGACCTTCGATGTTGATGAAATGTGGTTGGGGCGTCTTGACAAATCGTAGAAATAGGCATATTGAATTAGTTCTCCCTGCTAACCTCTGAGATTTCAGTCACAAGTCAGCCAGGGTCACCAATGCTCCACACATTGCGTGATTCAGCTGCAAAACTCTCCGCAGATCGTGGCAATATTTAACTTACAAGTCAGCCAGGAGGTTTAGGTTTCAAGTTAGCCAGGGTCACCAATGCTCCACACATTGCGTGATTCAACCGCAAAAACTCTGTCGTAGATCGTGGCAACATTTAATCCAGTAAATCCTCTCTCGGATTGGTGCATGCTACCATCGCGTGCGCTAAACCTGAGATGTCCCGCATTCTGCGACCATGACTCGCGTAAACACGTCCAGGCAATCCTGGCAGGGGAGCGTCCAGGAATGCAGGTGGCGCACACACCGTCGTTGCCGCGCTCTGGGCCGTTGCCTCCATTTGCGCAAGCAGTACAGTGACATTATGGCGCTGCCCTGCTGTCCAACTTGTTGCCATGTAAACGTCAGTGCCCCGTTTTCACTGCTCTATTCCGTGGTGTGACCCTGCAAGCGGTGACCTTGGATGACGTCATGCCACACCGAGATGCGTCATAGAGCGGCAAACAACAGCGACGAGGGCAGTCCACCTGGGGATCGCGGCGGCGGCGGCGCGGCGAGATATCGGTGGAGCTCTTGTGATGAGACACGTGCTATCAAGCTTTGTATCACGTGTGTAGAGGGCGCTGCGGCTGAGGCGTGGTGCCGACGCTGGGACAGTCGCATCGAGACAGGCGGTGACTCCCGAGTTCCCGGCTGACGCCCGACGAACGGACGTTCGCCCGCGCGCGCGCGCCGGTGGACGGTGTAGGACAAGTTCATACAATCGGGCGGACGACTGCGCAGAGCAAGTGACCTAGGCAGAACAAGCGCACGTTGCAGAACGTCTGAGTTCTTCGTCGCCTCGGCTGGACGCTGCTCAAAACAGGTTTTTTATACCGGTCCCAGCCGGCGGACTCGCTGCCATGGCCAGCGTGATTTTCTCGACGCTCGCGTGGCTGCTCTCACCGCTGTGGTGGCTACTGTCCTGGGTCTTGAGTCCGGTGCCGCTGGCCGCTCTAGCGGTCGCCATCGTCCTCGGCTACCGCTATTACACCAAAGACTTCGACTACTGGAAGTCCAAGGGAGTACCAGGCCCGCCCGCCAAGTTCCCTTGGGGGCATGGCTTCAGTACACGCAGTCATGAAGGGCGATTCCCCGTCACTGAGTTCGAAGACTGGTTGTACAACAAGCATGGAGGCAAGAAATACTGCGGCTACATTGAGATGAGGCGGCCGGTGCTATACGTTGGCGACCCTGATCTAATCCGTGCTATCACCGTCAAGGACTTCGATCATTTCACTGACCGACGGGACCTGGTGCTCTCCAAGGTCTTTGAAAAGATGTTGAGCATACTGAATGGCCAGGAATGGAAGGAGACTCGGGCGGTTATGTCGCCATCGTTTTCCTCTAGCAAGCTGAAGGCCATGCACCAGCTTTGCCTGGACAACGCGGCCAAACTCAACCAGTTCTTGCGGGAGGAGATGCAGCGCAAGGGCGAGGTGGAGCTGAAGGACGCCCTCGGCCGCTTCACCATGGACAACATCGCCTCATGCGGCTTCGGCGTGAACTGCAACTCATTCGTCGACCCAAACACCGAGTTCGCTACGCATGCCTCCACGCTGTTCAAGCCTCCCTCCGGGTACGCCATGTTCCGCCTGATGGTCATCATGCTCTTTCCGAAGTGGATTGGTGATTGCCTGCCGGATCCTGGGAAGGCTGCCACCGATTTCTTCCAGCGCGTGGTCAACAAAACAGTGGCTCATCGTGAGCAGCACGGTTCCGAGCAGAGAGATTTCTTGCAGCTGCTTCTGGAGACCAAGAACAAGGACGGGCAGCGCGCCCTGAGCGACTCAAGCATCGTCGCGCAATCGGTGCTGTTCTTCCTCGCCGGCTACGACACGACGTCTTCGCTGCTTACGTTCGCCGGCTACGCGCTGGCCACCAGCCCCGACATCCAGGGCGCTGTTCAGCGTGAGATCGACGAGGTGCTGGCGAAGCACGACGGCAGGTTGACCTACGACGCCGTCTCGGAGATGACTTACCTGGACCGAGTGCTGGCCGAGACACTGCGCCTGTACCCGACTGCCAGCCGTTTGGAACGGCGCTGCTCCAAGGACTACATTCTGCCCGGCACAGACGTGCTCGTCAAGCGCGGCATGATCGTCGGTATGCCGGTCTTCACTTTGCACCGCGATCCTGACCACTACCCGGACCCGCTGCGCTTCGACCCGGACCGCTTCCTGCCCGAGGAGAAGGCAAAGCGCCACCCGTGCGCCTACATACCGTTCGGCAACGGACCGCGCAACTGCATTGCCATGCGGTTCGCGCTGTTCGAGGCGAAGGTGGCGATGATCGCCGTGCTGCGGGAGAACAGCCTGAAGCCGGGGTCGAGCACACCGCCGCCGCCCTTGCCGCACGACCCCTACGCCTTCTTGCTAAAGCCCAAGGATCCATTGTTCCTGAAGGTGGTGCCCCGCAGTGGTGACGAAGCTTAATGGCGGCAGAGAAAGCTCCGTCGTTGCCCTCTCGGCTGTGACGGGCGCTGTCGCGAACAACGGAAGGCTTTCGCAAATAAAAATGAGAGGCATTGGAATTCCAGTTGCCGATGTTTGCGACCGTGACGCACCTCTTGCGTTTCTGGAGTCCAGTCTGCTGCGGCGGTAACCCATGCGTGCAAGTCTTAATTACCACACTGAAAGCGCGCACCGTG